CTGAATAGTAACGACGTAGTGATTACATAATTACTATTAAATTAATCGAGACTACATAGCTATTATTCAGTTACTGCGCATTAAGAGATTCAAAGTTTCCGTATAGTCGTCCAATGATATTGCCGCGTGGATATCATATGATATATGTTTCGGGTTACCCGGGTAGCATAACCCTGACCCGGTTAAGGATGCTTATACGAGTTACCTGGGTAAGCCTTATCCGAGCTTAATCTCTACAATAGAATTATAAAAGAATAAAAAATCTTAAATAGTTATTGAAAAACCAAAAAAAAAGACATTAGAAAACCCTATTCAAATATTTGATGAAGTATCTGAAGAACTAATGGATATGAGAAATAATAACTTTATCCTACTATTATCTTCATTAACTTACCTACTAGGATATAATTACAAAGAGCAAAAAATATAAAAATCAAATTTTAAATCTACCACCAAGTGTTTAAAAATGGTATAATTTAAAAAAGAAACAGGATATTATGAACAAGAAACTATTAAAAATAAATCTTTTAGTATACCAGTATACAATGAAAGATATTTTCTATTAGAAAGAACAAATAAAAAATTTGATAATACTTCTGAAAGTTCTAAAGACTCATTACTTGAAAAATATAGAAATACTATTCCAGATCTAATGGAATTGCAAAATAAATTAAAAGAAATTGAAGCAATAGTGTGACAATTAGTACTACCTATAGCTGGCAAATTATTATTATCAATAATCACAAATTAACACAGAATCCAATAAAATAGTATTTGGATCCAAGAAAGTTATAAAGAAATTAAAATATTACAAGATAAAAATGACTAACTCAAGAGAGAAAATGCAATGTTAAAAAGAAAAATTGCAGACCTTGAAAAAATTATAATGACTGAGCAAGCACTTAAGTTTATTTGAAGTAACCAAGACTATAAAATTGCACAACTCTTTAAATTCAATACATTTTACAACTTACAACTCCAGCACCCCAGATTTGAAAGGGCATCAATACAAGTAAACCAATTAAATGAACTTTCTAAAAACTCAATAGATGATTTATCTATTGATGAAGAATTTGAACAATTTGAGAAATTAAACAACACGATGAAGGACTAAAATATTAATTTATCTATAAATAGTTTATTATATAAACAATATTTGAAACTTTATATTATTTATTAAATTAGCTAAATTCTTATCATGTGTTTATCTTGAAATTATTTTATCAATCATATCAATATAAATATTTTTAAGTCTTGCCTGGCACAAACACATAAACAAACTATAAAAGTATAAATAAAAAAGATAAGAAATTGTTATAAAAATGCAGAGAAATTAACCAAGTTTTAAACATGCCAAAATACCAAACAACACCTTCTAAAAGTTATAAAACAATACCAACTTATAAAACTATAAAAAGATACACAGTGTGTGAAAAGTGTTAATAATTAAACTTAACCTGTAACTATAAAATATCTTGTAAAGTTTGTGAAAATAAAAAAATAATATATGAATGGTATTTTACTAAACGTGATCTATATAAAGTACAAACAAAAATTATTAATTGTCAGAAACAATTAAAAAATGTATATAGAGAAGCAACTATAATATCAGATTACTTACGAATACCAAATATATATACAAGTCAACTATCAACAATAGAAAAATATCTTGAAAATGAATAAACAGATTTGAATTCAGATTCATTAAAACAAGGAGACCAACACACTGCGCTTGTACAAATTGTCAATCATCTAAATGGTGTTGTGAAACAATGACTAGAAACACAAGTTGTAATCGCTGTATATGACTTGCTACTATAATCCAGACCAAAGAAGAAGTAGATTACATTAGTAATAAACTATATTAACAACCATAGTATATAAATACTACTACCTTACAAAAGACACAAATGATTTTGCAGAAAATACAAAAAGAAATTATCAAAGCAAAATAAGTTGTATTATTAATAGATTTAATACAAAATGAATTCTTTAATATATATAGAATATTAAAAAGAATAAACACAATAGAAGAATAATTAGAAGACTTAAAGTATTGTATTAAAGTAATACATACTATTTTAACAGATATTGAAAGAAGAAGAACAACCTTAACAAAAGCAATTGAAGGATTAAATTTAGCAGAAAGTGAATTATACAGAAAATACATTTATCCAGAGAATAAAAAATACAATTTAATGGAAGATATCTAAACACTATTACAAAGAACAAGAGAATATTTTGATAATTTAAGAATACAATTTGAAAAGATTAAAGACGCAAGAATAACTGGAACAGTATCACTACAAGAATTTCACCCTATCTTAACAAATGCACAACTTACCCAAATTAGACAAAACACTACTATTGAAGCATTCAAAAACATTAAAAGAAATATTTACCAAATTTATATATTAAACGCCTTAGTAGAAAATCTAGTCAGAGTAAGAAAAACATCATTTGACATAGCAATATTAGCATTACTTCAAACTCTAGACCTGTTAATAGAAAAAACTATACTATTCGAATTAACTAAAAATCTTGAAATTGAAATTCAAGTACTTAAAGAGATATTTAACAAAATAATACTACAACAAAACAGAAACTAAAAGACTTAGTATAGCCTTGAAAGAGTAGGCAATGGGAATAAACTTCTCGCAAATTTTTTGGAATTCACAAGAAATCTACAATTTTTAAATCAATACGAAGAATTAATTGACAACTTTTCGCAACAAGATAGTTATTTTGAACAAATTACTAGAGTAATAAATGAAGACTATTTACCTTTTAGATTTTTCTAAAACTATAAACCAGTACTAAGGAATACACTTTTAAGAACTATAAACTCTCATAAAGAAATCTTTGATCAAAGTTGTGAATAAATCTAAAAAGATATTGAGAAAACTTTAGCAAATCTAATTACAAGAACTAACTCTATGAATAACTCAAGATTAGGAACTACTTTAAAAACCTTACAACTTGCAATAGCAATAAATTATTTACTACTCAATCCAACTTTCAAATATTACACTACTAATAAACAGAAAAAAATATATACAGTTACTAATAGCAACTGCAAAACAAATCAATCTCCTAAGAGAAAGATTTGTAAATAATTTGGAATTAATACCAAGTAGTCTAAAAACAGTATTATACTATATTACTTTTATTGCTAAAAACATATTACAAAATGATGAAGCATCTATAGTACTTGATGAAGAACAAGAATTAAAAGTACTTAATTGGTGATCTGGCTAAGATTAGCACTAATTACTATATAAATCTATTATAAATATAAGGGATAAGAGTTATAGTAAACTCTAATATACATATTAAAATCTAAATACTTTGTCTTTAAAATGTCAAAAAAAGTACAAGTAGCTATTACACTTGTAGAATCTGGTATTATTGATGAAAACTATCATTATGGACCTTTTTCATGTTTTTGGTAGCAAGAAAATACTATAGATAAAAAAATATTTCTTGGTTTCCAATTCATATTGGACAAAAAACTATTACTATTCTTAACAGTTAAAAATTTGTTGTTACAATAGTTACTGGTTATTCAACTATTTCTTTTTTACCTGGTTATCAATGTTCTTGTAATAATATTCTTTCAGAAATAGTTGATAATCCAAGTATGGCTATTTTTACAGTATATACAAATTTATTCAAAACTAAAACCCACTATTCAGGACCTCTTATAATTGGGTAGACTAATGAAAAGATTATATCTTAACTTTTATTTGATGTTAAATTTTGTCTATTTTCATTTTGTTTAGATAGTAAAATTAAAATCTTCGTATTTGAAATTGGTTCGTCATTACAACAAAATTTAAAAAAAAGAGGATCTGGTTATAAATCATCACTAATTCATGAATATCATTCTAAAAACACATTATTTGTTTCAACTATAGATGATTTAAACTATTCTCTTAAAATATATCAAGATTTTCAACTAATAAATCATATTAAAAAACAAACACCCAATGAAGTATGGCATTCAATTGGCATAAAAAAATTTACCAGCATACAACTTTTTGGGTTAGAACATCCAACAACACAACTATATCTTTAACAACATTATATTCCTACATATACTTCTATTGATTGGTATAATTATAATCTAATAAAAAACTTTTTGATTACTATTTAAAATGAAGAACAATTGCAAATATTACGTGGTATTAGTTTTTTGTTAATTGGGCTAAAAATAAAAGCAAAATAATAGAGTTAGTTACTAGCTTGCAAGAAATATATCTAGCACGTTATCAGTTTACTAATAGAGAATTTAGTGCTTGGCAAACTTTAATTTGGGCTGCCAGTGGATATAATATAACTCCATAGTCACATGATGTATTAGAGGTTTGAATATTTATTGTCTAAAACAAATTATTTAAACTATTGTAAGATATACAGTAATAACAAATTCTATTAGTTTCAGATTTGAATATATGCTAATCCACCAGACAAAAATAAAAAAACAGTACAAATTTTATATAAAATAGGATTTTTAATACCAATTTCAAAATATATGCCTAATAGTACACAAACATTTTAGACAAGTTTTCAATATGCACTTTCTGACAATAAAAAAACTTTGAATAGTAAACGATATATACTATTAATTATTGCAAATGATTTTACATATTCCAAACTAGAATCTAATTTGAATGTAAGAAATTTTATACATATTTAAATTTAATGCTAATAATTAACAAATTTAATTTTAATATAAAATTATAAGGTTGGATGACATACAATTTATGAAGCCCAAAAGCATGCAATAACCAATAGATATGGTGTACCACTACTTCACAAACCAACTATTTATCATGTTTGGTTTTCACAAGAAAGCTTATTACAATTTGATTAATTTTTTATGCATAAAAATAATATTTCACAAAGTAGTTATAAAACTGATATTTTAACTGGCTTGCCCATTGTATATCTACATGATACAAAAAAAGGCTTGTGGAAAAAGTTTAATAAAGAATTTCCAAATAGAATGTGTCGTACTGCATTTATGACACACTTAGAAAGTATGTGATTTTTATATAAAGAAAATATAGGCGGGCTTTGTAATACATGTAATGAATATAGCTATGAAGTGTTTGAAGATATTAGTTTATTAATTAATAAATATATAGCAAATGTGACAGAAAGAGTATATATAATAATTATTATGATTTTATTTTGTTTATAACCAACTTACTTTATTAATATAAATTATTATTTTAAAAAATAGAAAGAATTATTCAACAAAATAGATTATTTGTAGCAATATTTACAAAAAGATTATGCAAAAACTCTTTTAGTAACCAAACAAGGCAATCCAATTTACAATATATGTATTAGTCATTGTCTTGCACTTGCATTCAGCAATTGTAATAATCAACATCCTAATATATGTGAAGAATGTGAAAATCTTTTTGAATTTTTTAATCAATTACAAGAAAAACCTGAAGTTGAACAGCATGAATTTTTAATAGATTATCAAAATTGCTTAGTAGCTTTTATGGCCATCATGCACAAAGAGTTTATTTAAATGCACAGCTAGCTGCTGAACTTGAATCTTTAGACCATAATGAAGCACTTATTTTTGTAGATTTCAAAATGCGAATTAATCCTTAAGGAGCACATAAAACTAAGAAAGATTTTTTTGGTAAATAAGGATGGATCTTATATACTGTTCTTGTATATCAAAAAAACTATTCAAATAAAAAATTAAATATATAGGCATTTGACTATTGGTTAGATGATACTTGCCAGGATGCATGATTTGCAGCTTTGTCACTTCATACAGTTATAGAAATTATTAATCCAAAACCACAATGGATAACTATAGTATTAGATAATAGCCCACATTACAGAAATACTGCATTAATGTTAATTATGAGCTATTGGAAAGAATGGTATAATATTAATCCTTGAAAATAGATTTTTCTTGAGGCAGGAAAAGCCAAATCTATAATTAACTCTCACTATGCACAGGTTTGTTCTAATTATATTTAAATTTATATTTAATATAATTTAACTATGTTAAGATTTTATTTAGATTACACATTTAATAAAAAGATGTATTAAGTTAGGCTATAATATTAAATCAGGAGATGATATAGAAAACACAATAAAAAATTTATCAGGAATGCATGTAGCTCATCTTGAGCCAAATCGTGATTTAGGTAATATAATATTAAATTATAGTTTGTTTAATAATATAATAGTTAATTTGTTTATTTAATTGAAATAACGTTTCGGAATGAGAATCAGTTTATTAATAAATTATGACGCAGATCTCTACTAAATAATATCGA